ACTCTCATAGCTATGAATACCATTTGAAATTTATATCAATAAAAAACGTGAGACGAAAATGAGGAGCCTTCATAGAGAGTGATTCAGAATAGTTAGAAATACAATATCATGCATTGATGTAATTTCCAGTATCCTCCAATTATAAAGAATGCAGTATTTTCAGTAGGTCATTATTCATTCGATGGTCATTACCAGTGGAGTTCATGATTATAATTGTCATGTGGCTGCAAGATTGTTCCTTAATTTAAAGGTGATGAAATAAAATCCCAATTCAACAGATATTTTTTGCATTTATTCAGCGCCTTCCTACCTTCCTCTTCTGGAATTTCTCTAAATCGAAAATTCTTGAGTTCACTACTCTGTTCGATTGAAATGATATCACTGCCTACTTCCTGATTATTGCATTCTGAATCACTCTTTGTATGAAACATTAACTCAAGATTCACTTCAACAAGAAAGGAAGATACAATTACATATAATTCAATTCCCTTCCATTTTCATATGTTGCAGTACCAAAAATAACATCAGAGATGGAACTATAACAAAATACTAGGTAATAATACTCAACATTTGAACAATAAATACAACACAACTTTAACGACTGAAGATGGGTTTGTGCCTATAGGTTGGAAATCGCCCAGTATTATGGTTGAGTGGAAGAGCAGCTGTCGATTTATCGGCGAGTTGAACTCTGCCTTTTGTTCCATTGAGACAATGAAAGCATTCATCATCATTATTACTATTATCATTAGATACATTTCTCCATGCCAGAAATATTCGACATGTATTGTGTTATCCTTCATGATACCAATTCATTCATCATTAATCATTTGGAGAGACAATTCTAAAAAAAAATTACAAATTCTCGTTACCTCTTTCTCCTTCTACAATACGACATCGTATTCAAAAAAGGATTCCCAAGATTATTTCACACAATATCCATAACCCATATATCTGAATCGAATGAACTATTGAATTCTGCTCTAAGTGTCATGAAGTTGTCATATGTTGTTGGAAGTTCAATAATATTAGAGCAGATGTGTTCTACGGAAAGCCTGGATAATCCATCAAATGACTTTAATTGAATATTGATACTATGATTCGCTATATCTGATCCTGTACAGAATCTGAGAGAAGCTGATCGATTTTTTGAATCACATTCTTTCAAGTATTTTTTCAGATATGTCACGACTCTCATCTGGTCAGGTGAAATATCATTACCCATTCTCCAACATTGATATGATATTTTTGTCAGATGCATCAAATTTTTCGTATACAATACTCGAATTGAACATCCCTTGAATGGATTTCAAAGGATTTGCGGAACAGTCTTTCACGAAAAAGGTTTTTTTTTAATCAACTCCTCCCTTGCAATTAGCTCTAACATTATTTGAAATTATTTTCAGTTGTTATTCCTTTTCCATTATAATTTGAGCAAAACTCCGCCAAATCGTTTTCGTCATCATCTACAAAGTTATTCAATGCGCTCTTCATTGATGCAGCATCTGATGGAGAAATATAACTCAAAAATTGGATAATACTTCTTCATCATCTACAGGAGCATCGGAACATGATTCGAAAAATATGGGCGCTACGTGAATTGGAATATATTTTTCACTAGAATAACTTCCAACAATTATTTCTCCAATTGCTGTCCACTCCTCCTTCTGAAAATCATGCCTATGGCAAGACCCTTTATGGTCTGTACCTAAGGTACATTTCTCTGAAACTGCTACAGAAAACTCTGTGATACTGTCCCGTTGGACGCCTCCAATGTCTTCTGCTGGTTCAATTGTTCCATTGGGCAGTATCATTCCTATTCTTATGGCAGTGAGGTGAGCATTCAATTTTTTCGAGAAGTTTCGGAAAAAATATCGCAATAAGGAAGAGGCCTGGAAGGGAAACAAAGTGGTTGTGGTTACAAACACATTGGATTTGTTATTGATTATTTTGGAATGAAAAAATGTGAACAGTGTGTCTTTGAGCTACAGGGTGATAAAAAAACGAGCTCATCTATTTCAACGAATTAAATTTCAGAATGTGAAAACATTCCTGGAAATTCATGTTATGAAGATAACATTGTCTGAATGTGCTCCGTTTCTGTCCTGGCACCCCTGAAGTAGGCCTCTGAAATAAGCATGACGTGTCAGCAATTGCCTGCAGTTATGGTATGGCCTCAATTCATTGCCGAATATTTCCTTTCAGGTCCTCCAGTATGAATTTTCGGCAAGAAATAGTAGCCCTAACCGCAAACACTTGCCGACGTGTGATGCTTAATTTCATAGGCAAACTTCAGCAGTGTCACGACAAATCGAAGCAAATTCAGACAATGAGATCTTCAGAACATACATTTCCAGGAATTTGTGTACATTTCGAATTCTTTCATTTCCATTTCACTTTAGAATGTAGAGAACTCCTTGGACCACCCTTTATAATCTGAATTATGATATTATGAAGTTTGTTCACTTTCAGATACTACAACAGTAGATGGAAACGGCATAGAAACATTTAGAAATTTTACTCTGTTCACAGAAAATACGAGAATAATACATAAGTTAAAATAATCAACTTTTCCATGTCGGTACAATATAGAACAATTGGTCAAAAACGTCTAATCCAATGATGTCAGGAGCCAACACTTAACAATTCGACATTATATATCATATTCCTCACTTAATAGGATGAACTGAGAAAGTATACATATTACTATGGAACAATATTCATCACAATATACTGAACATCAGATATGTATGTAATATTTCTATCTTTAGAACTTATGCAGTAGTCTATAAGTTTCAAGGAGCATTTCCAAGATGCCACTTACCACTAAATTTTTTAAATAAAAATGTCACAATAATAACGAGGTGAATGAAAGTGTTCAGAAAACCATTGAATTTGTTTCATTCTGAAATTCTAAAAAAAATAGTGTTTCTTTGAGGTATTATATGAATTCAAAAAATATTTTTTCAACTTTCTAGGTCCTACAACAATGAATGATCGTTCCACGGCATGGAAAACATTGAATTCAATTCTGTTCCTAGAAGATACGACAATAATACATTAGTTGAAAGAATCAACTCTTTCATATTCCTCACTTCATAGGATGAACTGAGGCAATCTACATATTATTATGAAACAATATCCATCACGAAATATACATCAGATAGGTTCATGATACTTTCATCTTGAGACCTCATTCAACAGCCTTCAGATTCCAAAGACCATTCAATTCAATATTCTCAAGTAGTTTTGGAAAAATATCACAATAATAACGAGGCATGAAAAGGGATCAAAACGTTTTCAAACTATTGAATTCGATTTATTTTGGAATTGAATAAAAATTATAAAGTTACAGCTCACGGCATTTTTTTTTTCACTTTCCAGCAAATACATCACTGAATGATCCCTCTACAGCGAGGAAAACTAAGATATACAGTGCATCCTATTCTGCTACAGACGGCCAAGTTTCTCGGATGTTGTTGGAGATAGAACCTTGCGGTTTTTGAGTCCCTATCTTTTTTTTTGTGGAACTGCAGATGGCCTAATCATATTTTGCATAACTGTTTCCGTTTAGGAGGGCGATTTCGAAAATCCATACTTTTTGGACCGCTTTTATATCTACGAAGTTATTAGGAATAATGATGCACTGAGAACTACCTCTTGAAAGGAATTTCGAACAAAATCATACCAGTGACGTGCTAAAAATCTTATTTGCAGGGTATCTTTCTAGAGATATGACAAACCTAATTATTTAATGGATAACAACCTCGGTCATGTTAGCTCCCGACCGGCCAGCTCAAAGCGGGACTTTTACACCACTGGCCAATTTTTGTTTTCGCATTGCTCTTCGTTTCGTACGCCGATCATTACTACTTCCTCTACTAATCGATCACATCCACAAATACGATGAATATTGATAATCTTTGTGTATTATTCCAAGTGAAAAAAAATTTAGATACACTGTGCTCACCGTTATTCTGAGAGGCCAGCGCGAACGATAAAAGTGTTCGATTTCACGTTATTCGATTGAATTTCCAAATTTTTCGTCTACCACAAAAAATTATCAGTCGCGAAAAACAATCGATAGAAATCTCAGAGGGGTACATAATCAATACAAATGATTTTTTTCGTTTCATCATGTCAACCCCAGAAGGCCAGCCCCAAGGGTAGAATTTTTCGATGTCATGCAATTGTAACGTTTTCATTTGCTAAAATAACTTGCCTATATCAAACGTTAATCTTCTTCATGGTATTTTCTACTAAAACACTAGAGAAACTCTGTAGATATACACTCTCGAATTTATAAACCTTTATTGATGAACTCAGTTGATAAAGTTTAGAATTTTACATCTGATATTGAAGCGCCCTGTATTTCACTTCTCATCTTGTATCCAACAGAACGCTCACAGGTAGTAAACTGAAATAAAAAGAAATAATGAATCATTCAGTAATATAACTAGAAAATAAACACAAACATAATTTAATGAATTCTAGGTAGTTGCCCAATCAGCCAAAGTACATCTTTAAGACGTCTTTAAGACGTATGTTTCGGTACCTAAGTACGTCTTGAAGACGTACATTTTTGGTCTTGAAGACGTACATTTTTGGTCTTGAAGGCATAATTAAGACGTCTTTAAGACGCACTTTTTCCAATAAAATGGACGTCTTAAAGACGTCTTTTTTAGGTCCTAATTATGTCTCGTTAGGTCGTTCAAAAGACGTATGCAAGACGTATTATTTTTACGTCCATATAAGGTCCATATTAGGTCTATTCACATCCTATCCATAATGAATTCAACTCTTCAGGTATTTTGATACCATGATAGTGAATATACAGTGATCTCTTGGTGATGAAAACGGAAATAGTAGACATATTAAATTATTTAAAAAAATAAAACTTTATTTTATATATATATATATATATATATATCACGAACTCAAATCTAAAGAATAATAAAATACATATTGAAAGTACTTCAAGAAATAAAACTATAGTATACCTATATATATATAAAACAAACACAAAAGAAACATAAAATACATAATATTCAAGTAGACATATTTTGAAAGTGATTTAAAAAAAGATATACCAAAATACAAAAAAATAGTTATGACAAAGTGAGATGAAGGCTTTACTGTTTGAATTAGAAAAAAAAATTCGAGATGGTCTTCTCTCATGAGCAGCACATTTTTTATATATTTTGAGATATACAAGGTGACTCAAAAATGCTTGAAGTTGGTTGGTCTACCCTGTATATCACAATCTCAAAACAGAAGTTATAAAATACACATTCAAGTAGCTTTACTCTACATTCGGTCTCCTGCTCTACGCACATTGCCAAAGCCCTTTCAGCTTCTTTGGTGTCGACGTTTTTCGCTTTAATGATAGCTTCTGAAAACAAAGCAATGAAAAGCTTACTCAACAAAAAATGACTGTATTGATGAAGGGAATAATGAGAAATGAAAATAGCAGGATTGAGTTCACAATATAAATACACCTAGCTTACAACTTACTCATTATCAAATTAGCTACTCTTAGGTCATGGAAGGGTTTTTTCTTTCTTCGTCCCAGCCAACTGAAATTGTGTGCCAAATTGTTAGTAAACAACCTGCCCATGCATCTTCTTACAAATTCATACAGACTGTTTCCTCCAGTCATAGATAATTTTTTAACCTGTAAAATGAAAGCTTTATTTTATAAAAACTTTCAGAAAATGTTGAATGACATCATTATTTCATCATTTTGAATTGAGTATATAGATGAACAACAACAAAGAATTCATATTAAAAAAGGTTGAAACTCCTCACCGCTTCACGGAATGATTCCTCATTTTGTAAAAATGAATTGAGTTCCTCTAAATCTCTCTCATTATTTATAGGTAGGGTAAATTTTGAGAATATGGATTCCAGCATAGTTTCTGATTCGGGTTGCTTCTTAGAAAATGTATTAACCAAATCTTCCACTGCATTTTTTAAATACCGAACTTGTCTCAGCAGCTCCTTAATATATTCCCCTGTAAAACAGCTGTATAATTGTGATTATGAAGGAAAACCTAATATTTAAGGTTTTCCTTCATAATCACAATTATGTCAGTATTACCATGAATGGAACAGCATGTACATCCTGTATTTCTTCCTAAAACATTAATGTAATCAATGAACCCATCACCAAATATTATAGTATGTATCTATGCAGTATCTCTGAATGAAACTAATTTGAGAAAGAGCAATATTGAACACAAGTTATTTTTATGAATAGTGTAAGGGTCTTTATTCTGAGGCCCTTACTTTGACACTTGTCGAACAGGCTCCTGGGACCTGTCGGGGTTTCTCGAGCGCCAGATTTTTGATAGAGGTGATTTACTTCACCTGCTCCTCCCAACTGAGTCGGAAAGGAGACCCAAGGTAGCAACAGTGAAGAAAGACATCCACTGGATGTCTACAGTAAACCAGGCGTCAAAGCTATTGAATTGACCTGGGTGCAGGGGGCCAAGAGAGCATAGGCTTTAATTATACACTCTTGGGGATTCCTGGAATACTGGTTGCTCTGAATAGATGTTTGAGTCGTCACTTCTTGTGACTTGAGTACTACAACTCTTATCACCGGTAGTTTTCTGGAATTTGACTTTGTTCTATACCTTTGTTGTCAGGATAGGGAAATCAGAATCACATAAACAGGTCAAGTATAGGTTTATTCAATTTCTTTCGTTCGTCAGGTTACAGGCATTAATTAAAGGAAGCAAAATCTATTATACAAACAGGTTGAGGTTATGATGTTATTACAGTTATGAGATTGACCTCCACACTGAAAATTATGACATTCGAGTACAATAGCCATGCGTGTCTAGTACGTTCGGGGCAAGCAAAGGTGCAAGTGCAGGTGCGAGCAAAGCAGGGACAATGAACCACCGAATACGACCGGAAAGGTTGCAAGCGAGGGTTTATTCAGGAAAGTGAGTTTGGTATCGACAGGAATACAGGGATGAAGTAGTTTAGTTGAATCATTAACGCGGAATAGACTGGTGAAAAGTACTCCTTCAGGGTGTAGCTCTAACTCTGGCTCATAGCAGTATTCGGAAGCCGTCTGCAGGTTGACTTGCGAATCCTACTTTTCTCAAACGAAAGGAGACGGGCCCTGGATCCACACAGGCAGGCTTCCAATCTCGAAACAATCGGGGTAGGGTGTCCCTAAGTTCGTGGCGAGATCCACCCAAAGGTTGAGCCGCAGAGCAAAACTTAGGAGACACTTCTATTTTCGATACAACAGCTACGTTACTTATTAACTCTGAACGTCTGAACGTGGAGTATTCTTCACCAGACAAGGTTTCAATCTACTCAGGCGATATTTTACTCGATACAAAACTCACTCAGTACAGGGTGATAAACTATAAGCAATACAATAAGCGTACGCAAACCAACTTGAAATAGCTTACTTGGATGAAACAGGAGTACTGCTGGCTGCGAAACACTCGACACTGCTACTGGCGCGACCGCGAAGGTTCGGATATCGGCCCGGGAGACGCAAATCTACACACTCGATAAATTTTTCGGAAAATAATACAGGTGACAGGTGTTAGGTTATGATTTCTTAAATTGTAGCAAAAGGCATGAACCGGATTACTGAAAAATATGCTGGAATTGAACTGACTGAAAATGTGAAAAGGGACGAGAATCTGAACTGGAATGTGAAGCAAACTGGAATAACTACCCGGAAAAATAACTGGAAAACTATCTGGAATTGTGAACTGGAAAAATAGCGCAAGCACAGGAACACTGGTAAACCGACTGGAAAGTAATACCGGAGAATCGAACTCAAAGAACTAACTGACTGTCGGACTAACTCACTCTGGACTGACTGCTAACTCCCTGCTCGCTCTGATGGACCGAGTATTTATGTCCTGCCTAGACCTTGACGCAACTTGAGCAAAGCCAACAGCTATCCTTGCTCCTGATTGGCTAGCTTCGACTGACCTCGTGAAAATGCCGGTAACAACCGTGAAATCCGAAGTTGTCCTTGGAAAAAGAAAAATGCGGAAATAATATTTCCTTGGCCAAAAGGGCCTAGGCACCTGATCAACTTTCTCTGCGGAAGCTACTGAATCGATTTTTATATCCTACAAGCAGAGATATTCAAGTTATAGCTAGGTAAATATTTGCATCTTCAAGGTCCAGGCCGAACATGTGGAAATTATGAATTTTCAGGAAATCTTACAATCAGGGGCTTTCAAAAGTTGCAGGAAGTCCTCTCGCATCTCCAAGACAGGCTTACATTTTACTCTATCCATCAGGATTGCTTTTCAAACATAATAGAGGCTACTAAAGAACTTCCCGTACTTGTATATCAAAGAGTCAATTTCTGGAGCTGGGACAGGGCTATAATGACACGAAAGACATCCCTAGTAGTTGGTATACGAGCTTGATATCTCTCAGAACAGGTATTCCATGAGGAGGTGTGTAACGAACTGCATATTTTCAATATCAGCTAGATGTCGAGTAGAAGGTTAGTATCTGAATTATAAGCAATTATGGGACCCCTGTATCTTGGGTGATAACTGATTTTACTGAAATATTAGCTCGGAATGGAAATCTATACGATAAGACAGGAATTTAGATAGAAACCGTTGCTTAGTAATGAAGTCCTAAAAAAAACACTTCGTTACACACCCACACACCCCTCCTTCTTACGAAAAAAAAATTGAAGCTTCAGCTGCATTTTTTTTGTATACATATACCTATTTGCTCAATCAACTTAGGTATCCTCGTCTGGTAGCTGGTTCTGGTGAGCAAGGCGACATGCCTGCTGTGACGTGTTTCTGGTAGCTGGTTCTGGTGAGCAAGGCGAGATGCCTGCCGGGAAGTTATTCTGATGACTGGATCTGGAGAGCAGGGCGTGATGCCTGCCGTGAAGTTATTCTGGTGACTGGATCTGGAGAGCAGGGCGAGATGCCTGCTGTGAAGTTATTCTGGTGACTGGATTTGGAGAGCAAGGCGAGATGCCTGCTTTGAAGTTTTTCGCCGGCTAATACCGGTATCACACGAGCAGCGCGAGCACTGGACGCCTCGATCGGCGACGGTTGGGGTGGACGTCTGGGTCCGTCGGTTGACCTGTGTCGGGGCTGGTGGCCTGGTGGTCCGGCTGTTGGTGGTGGGTTGAGCCGGGATGAGCTCCGGGTATCTTCTCGGGGGTCTGGGACACTGGCAGTCGCATGACCGCACGCCATCCAGTCCACAGCGCGAGCAGAACCACCTGAACGGTCGGGTACACCCTTCTCGCCGGTGTCCCGGTCTTCCGCAACGCCAACACAGTTGCTGCGCCACCGGAAGATAGGTCAGCTGGAACTCTCCTACGCCTATGGTGGCCTTGAAGTAGGAGTTCGGGACGAATGGCTCCGCGGACCGCGTTGGAGCCGCGGTGGTGTCTGGACTGGTAGTAGTCAGGCTGGGTTCGCCTGGACGGGGGGTAGTCAGGCTGGGTTCGCCTGGACGGGGGGTAGTCAGGCTGGGTTCGCCGGGACAGGTGGCATCCGCGACGATGATGCCGGAGCTGATGGTAGTCAGGCTGGGTTCGCCTGGACTGGTGGTAGTCATGCTGGATTCGCCTGGACGGGGGGTAGTCAGGCTGGGTTCGCCTGGACTGGTGGCATCCGCGACGATGATGCCGGAGCTGATGGTAGTCAGGCTGGGTTCGCCTGGACTGGTGGTAGTCATGCTGGATTCGCCGAGACTGGTGGCATCCACGATGATGATGCCGGTGTCGAGAGGGTTCAGGCTGGGTGCGCCAAGCCCGACAACATTTGGCGTCTCGGGGTCGCTTTCCCATCCGGCGGTGTCGTAGATCGGCAGGGGCGAGGGCAGGGGTGAGGTTCGAATTTCCAGGAACTCGTTCATGGCTGTGAACAGAACATAACATTAATTTTCCCTTACTCTTAGGACTCTGGTTTTTCGGCTTTACTTTGGGTGGAATGGTTATCCACACCGCTTTCCCAGGCCCCGTGCGTACTCGCACCCTACATCGCCGGTCAGTCCGTCGGCCGGCCGGTCGCAACTCCTGGACGATCGACTCCAGCAGTGGTGACCAGTCGGCTCGAGACTGGTGTCGCTCAATCTCCGCTGCTGCCCACCGTCGGGCGGAGAGGGGTAAAGTTCCCGCAGGCGAGCGCGGCAACGGCAGGCGTTCCTCTCTGGGCTCCGGTGTTGGGGAGTGGGAGGCAGGGGGAGTGCGGGTCAGGGCTTGCTGGAGCAGGGAAAATGGAGGCGACTGGTGGGTAAGCCGATGATGGAGTATCGGGTACTCAGTCGCCCTCCAGGATCGAGGACTGGGCGGGGATATTTCCCGAGCACATACGGCGGCTCGGGGTGCAGGCGGGGGCTGAACGGGCGCGTACGCCGGCGGGGTGGGGGAGAAGTTTGGACTGGGTTCAGGAGTGATGTTACCGGCGAGGATGCGGGCGAGGTCAGGGGGATTGAAGTACAGCGGAGATTGCAACTGGAATTCGGCCTCTAGTTCTTCCAGCCGGGGAGTCGATAATGCGAATATCTCATCCACTCGCGGGGATCTGGGGGAACCATCTCCTCCTGGAACCGGTCTGGGGGGCGTCGGGAGGGCGTCTAGGAACTCCAGGTCCTCCATTTGGATGTGGTCCGGAGCGGGGGCAGGGATCACTACCACATTCTGAAGAACCCGGATTCTGGGCTCTTCGGCATCCTGGAGTGCCGGCAACGTCATACCTACGGACAGAAATCCCATAGCTACGTCTCGGGGTGAAAGGGCTTTGAATCCTTTATGTGAACTCGGTTGCAACGTTTCCTGGTTGCACTTCTCAGGTTGTAGACAACTGGTGACAGGACTTGGGTCACAGTGAATGGTCTGGAATATTTCGGGTCCAGTTTGGCGGCGTGACCGCGGATCCCGGAAGAGAGATTGTGCTCTCGCTTCATTACTTTGTCCCCGAGGTGACATCTCCAATCTCGGCGGCGGAGATTGTAGAAATGACTCTGGTTATTGAAAGCTCTGGACAAGTTCACGCGGACCAACTCATGAACTTCTTTCAATTTGGCCATATGCGCTACCCAGAAGGTCAGAGTATTCTCGCGATTTTCTTCTGGAACAGGGGCACCAGCATCTTCCTCTGGAACCGGGGCTCGGAGCAAGGCCTTCGGAGGCTCTAACTCTCGTCCAAACATGAGGAAAGCAGGAGTGAACCCAGTGGAGTCATGTCGGGCAGTGTTTATTGCAAACTGAAGTTCAGGAAGATGTTGATCCCATTTCCGGTGGCCATTCTCGCAATACTGGGATATCATGGTCTTAACGGTTTTGTTTGTTCTCTCGACTGGGTTAGCTTGCGGTGTATACGGAGGTGTCAGTCTGTGCTTTATGCCGAGTTCCATCAGGAGATCTTCGAAGACTTTTCCGGTGTACTGAGCACCATTGTCGCTGATGACAGTGCCTGGACGTCCAAATCTCAGGACGATATCCTCATAGAAGGCCTGAGCAACAGCTCGGGAGGTAGCCTTCCGGAGAGGACTTGAACCCATTTTGTGAAGCGGTCCTGATAGACAGCCAGGTAGCAATTTCCTTTACTGAATCGGGGTAGCGGACCGACTAGATCGGTGGAGATAGTATCCCAGGGCTTGTTGTTCGGGGAAGGATTTATTTTTCCTGGAGGCTGTTGCTGGGATACTTTATATTCCTCACACACTTCACAACTCCGGACGTATCGGGAGATTTCACGGAACATTCCTGGCCAGTAATAGCGATGACTGATCCTGGCGATTGTCTTCGCTATCCCCATGTGATCCGCGGTGACAGCATTATGATTTTCGTCTAATACTTGTTGGCGGAGGGGTTTAGGAACACAGAGCTTCCAGGGATCGCTCATCTCTATCTCACATAGGTTGTTGGCATCCCAAAAATGTCGGAACAGGCGATTTTCCTTGACACAGTAGTCTGGAAACGCCTCCGGGTTTTTCTCTACCTCGGCTTTCTTACTTCGATACCAGGAGCATTGTTCTCCGGCTTATATTTCAGCCTCTGTCACACAACACATAACCTCTATCTCAGATTCATCGGGACTGGGTCCAGGTAATGGTTGACGGGATAAAGCGTCAGCAACTTTATTCAGGACTCCACGGCGGTATTTGACTTCGAAGTCAAATTGTTGTAGGAACATAGCCCATCGAGCTATGCGACCGGACGGACTCTTGATGGACTGCAGCCATTTCAGGGACAAATAATCAGTCAGGACAGTGAAATGATAACCTTCCAGGTATGGTCTCAATTTCTCTATACTCCAGACGATGGCCAAACATTCTTTCTCGGTGACGGAGTAGTTACGTTCAGGTGCGGTCAACATGCGACTCGCATACGCCACTACTTTTTCCTGACCCTCTATGGTCTGGGTAAGCGCTGCTCCCAAACCACAATCGGAGGCATCAGTCTGTAGAACGAAAGGCTGAGTGAAATCCGGACAAGTCAATGCTGGTGCCTCGGTAAGTCGGGCTTTCAGAAACTCAAAGGCGGTATCCTGAGCTTCTGTCCATTTCCAACGGTTACATTTCTTCATCAACTTGGTCAGTGGTGCCACTATCTAGGAAAAATTAGGAATAAATCTCCTATACCAGGAAGTCATCCCTAGAAACTGTCTGAGTTTTCTTAGGGTGTTTGTGGCGGGCCACTGGACAATAGACTCTATCTTGTCTGGATCAGTCTGGATTCCTTCAGGAGTTACTACATGTCCTAAGTACTTGAGTGAACTCAAGCAAAACCAGCATTTTTCTGGATTTAACTGGAGGTTTGCTTGCCATAAACGGTTGAAAACTTGCTGGAGATTTCTCAGGTGTTCATCGAATGTTTTGCTCAGTACTATGATATCATCTAAGTATGCAAAAGCAAACGGTTCCATCTCTGGTCCAATGATTTGATCCATCAACCTCTGGAATGTTGCTGGAGCGGAATGGAGTCCAAACGGCATGACTCGGAACTGGAATAATCCTCATCCAGGAACGGTGAAAGCAGTGACGGGTTTGCTATCATTGGTCAGCGGTATCTGCCAATATCCTTGTCTTAAGTCCAGACTTGAGATGTATTTGGCTTCCCGGAGTTTATCTAATATGGAATTGATAAACGGTAACGGGTAAGCATCCTTCTCGGTAACATCGTTCACTTTCTGGAAATCAATGCAGAACCGATGCTTTCCATCCTTCTTTTTAACAATGACTACCGGCGAACTCCATGGACTTTCAGAAGGTTCGATAATGCCTTCGTCCAGCATTCTATCGACCTCTTCGTTGATCACTTCCTGCATTTTCAGATTTTGAGGGCGGTACCTTTGTTTGATCGGCTCTGTCGTTTTCAGGCGAATGCGATGCTTTACCAAAGGTGTCGGTCCTTTTATCTGTTGGAATGCGGGTAGTTGGTGATCTAGAAACATTTCCAGGGTGTGTCGTTGTTCAGGTGTCAGGTTTGTCTGCTCTGAGCTGGATGGTTCTGGACTGGCAAGAGTTTCTGGAGGGAGTAAATTTGTAGACAGGACAGGATGTACTGGATTTCGGTTTATGTGTACTAGATTGCTGGAGGTATGTGGAGTTGATCTTTTGTTTGGGCTTCTGGATGTTTGTGATTTGTCTGGACTTCTATAGGTTCTGGACTCACTTGATGTTGCTCGGGGAATGGTGTCTGGACTTCTGGATGTTTTGGGAATACTGGATGTTTCTGGAATTCGTCGGGAATCAGGATTACAGGAGGGGTGGGGCCTGGCTAGATTTCTGGATGGTGCTGGAGTTCGAGTTTCTGCAGGATTTTTGGGTGCTGGTACTGGTATCGGACTTCCCTGGGAACCAAGAACTGACACGTTCTTCTGATTCCGGTACACAGTGGCATTTGACAGGGTTATACTGAAGCCCTGGGTGCGAAGAACGTCCATGCCCAACACCAAATCGGCAGACAAACTCGGAAGAACCAAAAGTTCAATGGATAGGCACTCTGTACCTATCGTCATCCAGGGTTTATAACTTCCTGTAATCTGGGCAAGGGATCCATCGGCTTGACAGGACTGGGCCACTGTGAGTGGGCGTTTCAGTGCGCCAAAACGTTCGCAGCATTCGGCCACTGCCTTGCTGGCAAACGACCGGGTAGCGCCAGTATCTATCAAGGCTGTGAACTGGGTATCTCCTATGATTACTGGAATATGAGGACGGTTGTCCTTCTGGGAAGGGGGCTGCTGGGTGTATTCGGTGCTTACTGGCTGGAGCCGGACTGTCCCCGATTCAATCGGGCTCCTCGCTAGTTTTCCGACCGGGTGCAGGTGCAGTCTCTGGACAGGACTCCGTCGCGTCCACAGCGCGAACAAAATGTCTTCGGGGCATTTCGACACTCGTCTCTTCGATGTCCAGGCTGGCCACATCTCCAGCAGATTGCTCCTCTATCATGAGCACCTGGACTGGGCATTATCGCCCTTGCCGGAGTACTTCGGGGAGCAGGGGAGGGTATTCCAGGTGCAGGCCTATTGGAAGGTTGATTGGTCTGGACGGGGGTTAGCTGGACTGGATTGGGCTGGGTTGCTCTCATAGCCCGAACTGGTTCAGAGTACGTCGGTCTGTTTTGGTAACTAGGACCTCGGGAATACATTCGGCGTATCTCGCCACGTAAGCTTTGGAATTCCAGGATCAAGGTAATCAGAGAGGGAACATCATGGAAATCGGATCTCTTAATATACTGACGATAGTCTGGCAACAAGTTCCTATATAGCCAGGCTACTTCCTGGGTAGATGTCAAATTTCCATGACGTCTGATGAGGGTCTGCATGTCCACGACGTAATCCATGGCCGGTTCGTTGTCCTTTTGTAGCCGGCGGCTGATTTCCATTTCAATATCTTCTTGATATCGAATCGGGAAATAAGAAGTTCTGAAAATTTTCTTAAAGGACTGCCAGGAATTCCAGTACACTTTATTGCAGCGGTACCACAGTAGTACTCTGCCCTGGAATAATGTGGGAAGGGTATCCAGGAGTTGTTCAGGGTCGTCCTCCTCGGCTTCTCCGATTTCTTCCAGTCTTTCCAGGAACGCTACAGGATCGGTAGTACCGTCAAAATGCAAGTTCCACCGATGGGCTTTCAAGGCAGGACGATAGGGGGCAATAATATTCGGGACTGGAGAAACAGGTGCTGGAGGGTACGTAAATCTCTGAGCCCTGGTACCAGGTCCCAAGTTCGATGGCGCAGGGATTTGGGTGTGACAGGATCGCGGCTGCGGTGCTGGCTGCATTGCCGGCTGCTGCGTTCCGACATTCTGCGGAACGGTGTTCTGTGCAACCGGATTCTGTGTTCGGGTGTTCTGTGGTCCTGGGCGGAAGGACGGGACTGACAGGTGTGGCATTGACATAGGTGGGACAGCTGTCGGTATTGTCAGGTTAGGCAATGTTTTGGGCCCCATTGAGGGGCTTGGCACTGGATCGGGGGGTAACAGGTTATCGGTGTCTCCCTGAATAGTTGAGGACTTCATACCGATCATCTTGGGAAGTTCTTTCCTCAGGAACCATATCAATCGACGACGTAGTTCAAGAACTGTCCCCTCCACGTCAAGGCCATATTGTTTCATCTCATCTACAAGCTCTGGCTTTTTCAACCTGTAGATCCAGCTGACTCGGGGCTCCAGGTTGGTGAAATATTCATCAACTAGTTCTTCCCGATCAGGGTCTGGAGACTGGGGCCTACTATTCCTGGTAGGTTCAGGTGGGGCATCCAGACGATCCATGTCATTCAATGCACTGGGGGAAGGTGAAGGGGCCAGGCTCGGAGAATCAGGCATGATATAGTTTTATCAAGGGGAGAAAAAAAACTCAATATTCAATGTAGTTAAACCTAACACTTGAGTTCAGAAAAAAATGTAAACCCAAAAATCAAATTGAAAAAAGTAAACTTAAACTATTTTCCAAGTTTCAGGAACCACAAACCCTGGAACTGGTCTGGTTTTATTTCTATGAAGTCCCTATAGTTTATTCACAGGATAGGTTTCATCACCAGGAACATCAAAAGTAAATACCAGGAGAAAAAAAAATCAAAAACAAAACAAAACTCTGGAAGTATGACACTAAATCTTCCCACTGGACCACTTATCCAACTATTTGGTATCCACCTGGTAGATAATCAAAAAAAAATAATCAAAAATTGAAAACAAAATATTATTCTGGACTGGATATTTTTACAAGGCCCCTGCACGGTATGATATTGATTTCAGGAAATTCTAAGTCTCTGTCAGGGTGGAATGAGCCAAGTTTTTCAGGAAACTACCCTTCCTGTCTCTGGTTGTTCAAATTCAATATAGCCACTAGGTAATTAATAATCTTTTACTGGAATCTTGCTTCTGAATGAGGCTGGAACTCACTTGATTAGCTGTCAGGACCTGGCTTATGTCAAACCAGAAAAAAACAAAAAATTTGGAAACTGATCCCTATCTCTCAGGTGTGTACATGTGTCAAAATAAGGCAAATTTATGAACTAACTGGTTTCTTTACTATCTACTCAGGAATAACTGTTAATCGGAAAGACTATACTCCAAGGCTGGTAACTTATGTTTTCTCTGTGCTGTTATTCAAAGTTCAGGAATTTATTCCAACAGGTTTTCTGGAGGTCAAATCAAATTTTGAAAAAAAAACATCAAACCAGGATGAGAACAAACTAATTATTATCTGGTACTCAGGCAGGTAATGATAACTATAAGTATGAATCTACAGGATTAAACACCAAAACTGAAATTGTTTAATGTCAGGAGAGCTAAAGTATTACTTTGGGTGCAGGTGAGTCTTGATGTTCAGTTCATATACAATTCCAGGAGCATACTAGCATAATCTATACCTAGTAATTGATAACTATTTACTGCGTTAGCTATCAGGACTAGTAGTGTATCAGTCTTTCCGTTTCAGCAATTATAGGTTGTTCAAATATCAATGTAAATTTCAGGATATTCGAGTCTGGGTTTTCAATATCTGTTCAGTATCTACACAGGAACATTCAGGACCAATTTCATCAGGCAAGTTATGAATTTTACTGGACTACTACTGATTTACTGGTGTATGAAAGCTTTTCTGATTTCACTGACAACAAAGGTTTCTGGACTAGATTGTGCTTACGGTTTACAGGTACTCAGGTCTGTTCATTGTGTTCAATTCAATATGCCAAGTCCCTGCTCTAGGGCGTCATTTGTAAGTGTCTTTATTCTGAGGCCCTCACTTTGACACTTGTCGAACAGGCTCCTGGGACCTGTCGGGGTTTCTCGAGCGCCAGATTTTTGATAGAGGTGATTTACTTCACCTGCTCCTCCCAACTGAGTCGGAAAGGAGACCCAAGGTAGCAACAGTGAAGAAAGACATCCACTGGATGTCTACAGTAAACCAGGGGTCAAAGCTATTGAATTGACCTGGGTGCAGGGGGCCAAGAGAGCATAGGCTTTAATTATACACTCTTGGGGATTCCTGGAATACTGGTTGCTCTGAATAGATGTTTGAGTCGTCACTTCTTGTGACTTGAGTACTACAACTCTTAGCACCGGTAGTTTTCTGGAATTTGACTTTGTTCTATACCTTTGTTGTCAGGATAGGGAAATCAGAATCACATAAACAGGTCAAGTATAGGTTTATTCAACTTCTTTCGTTCGTCAGGTTACAGGCAATAATTAAAGGAAGCAAAATCTATTATACAAACAGGTTGAGGTTATGATGTTATAACAGTTATGAAATTGACCTTCACACTGAAAATTATGACATTCGAGTACAATAGCCATGCGTGTCTAGTACGTTCGGGGCAAGCAAAGGTGCAAGTGCAGGTGCAAGCAAAGCAGGGACAATGAACCACCGAATACGACCGGAAAAGTTGCAAGCGAGGGTTTATTCAGGAAAGTGAGTTTGGTATCGACAGGAATACAGGGATGAAGTAGTTTAGTTAAATCATTAACGCGGAATAGACTGGTGAAAAGTACTCCTTCAGGGTGTAGCTCTAACTCTGGCTCATAGCAGTATTCGGAAGCCGTCTGCAGGTTGACTTGCGAATCCTACTTTTCTCAAACAAAAGGAGACGGGCCCTGGATCCACACAGGCGGGCTTCCAATCTCGAAACAATCGGGGTAGGGTGTCCCTAAGCTCGTGGCGAGATCCACCCAAAGGTTGAGCCGCAGAGCAAAACTTAGGAGACACTACTATTTTCGATACAACAGCTACGTTACTTATTAACTCTGAACGTCTGAACGTGGAGTATTCTTCACCAGACAAGGTTTCAATCTACTCAGGGTATATTTTACTCGATACAAAACTCACTTAGTACAGGGTGATAAACTATAAGCAATACAATAAGCGTACGCAAACCAACTTGAAATAGCTTACTTGGATGAAACAGGAGTACTGCTGGCTGCGAAACACTCGACACTGCTACTGGCGCGACCGCGAAGGTTCGGATATCGGCCCGGGAGACGCAAATCTACACACTCGATGGATTTTTCGGAAAATAATACAGGTGACAGGTGTTAGGTTATGATTTCTCAAATTGTAGCAAAAGGCATGAACCGGAAAACTGAAAAATATGCTGGAATTGAACTGACTGGAAATGTGAAAAGGGACGGGAATCTGAACTGGAATGTGAAGCAAACTGGAATAACTACCCGGAAAAATAACTGGAAAACTATCTGGAATTGTGAACTGGAAAAATAGCGCAAGCACAGGAACACTGGTAAACCGACTGGAAAGTAATACCGGAGAATCGAACTCAAAGAACTAACTGACTGTCGGACTAACTCACTCTGGACTGACTGCTAACTCCCTGCTCGCTCTGATGGACCGAGTATTTATGTCCTGCCTAGACCTTGACGCAACTTGAGCAAGGCCAACAGCTATCCTTGCTCCTGATTGGCTAGCTTCGACTGACCTCGTGAAAATGCCGGTAACAACCGTGAAATCCGAAGTTGTCCTTGGAAAAAGAAAAATGCGGAAATAATATGTCCTTGGCCAAAAGGGCCTAGGCACCTGATCAACTTTCTCTGCGGAAGCTACTGAATCAATTTTTATATCCTACAAGCAGAGATATTCAAGTTATTGCTAGGTAAATATTTGCATCTTCAAGGTCCAGGCCGAACATGTGGAAATTATGAATTTTCAGGAAATCTTACAATCAGGGGCTTTCAAAAGTTGCAGGAAGTCCTCTCGCATCTCCAAGACAGGCTTACATTTTACTCTATTCATCAGGATTGCTTTCCAAACATAATAGAGGCTACCAAAGAACTTCCCGTACTTGTATATCAAAGAGTCAATTTCTGGAGCTAGGACAGGGCTATAATGACACGAAAGACATCCCTAGTAGTTGGTATACGAGCTTGATATCTCTCAGAACAGGTATTCCATGAGGAGGTGTGTAACGAACTGCATATTTTCAATATCAGCTAGATGTCGAATAGAAGGTTAGTATCTGAATTATAATCAATTATGGGACCCCTGTATCTTGGGTGATAACTGATTTTACTGGAATATTAGCTCGGAATGGAAATCTATACGATAAGACAGGAATTTAGATAAAAACCGTTGCTTAGTAATGAAGTCCTAAAAAAACACTTCATTACAATAGTAATACAGTAAAAACTACATATTTCATACCTGAAGTATTCTCAACAGAACTAGGCATAGATGACAAAGATGGTGGAATATTTGATGAATTTTCACCAAATATTTCAGAATTATTCCATTTTTTACTGCCAGTCAAAGAATTACTGGAATTAGAATCCAAGTCATCTTGTTGTCTGCTGGAGATGTTCTCTGGAACAAAAATTAGGACATAGTATGTTCAAGAAGATTCCTACATGCACAACCTTATTTTTTATTTATCAAATAAAAACGAACCTATTCGATTTTTTTTTAGTAGTGATCATTTTTGGTGGACTTGGTATGATGGTGGTATCACTATCTTCATCTGATGAACTTATTATTTTTTTACGTGTTCTCCTAGCTGGCCTAACATAAGAAATCTCATATGCTTCAGAGTTTAGATCGCTTGTATCTTCTGCTATTTTGGCCTTTCCTCTTGCCGTTTCAAAGTTGTCTAAAAACTTGTAGGGATATGATAGGCATATATTTCAGTTTTGTAATCAGTAGGTCTTATCATAAGTAGCATTACGAAACATATCCACTTTATATGATGGCCAGCATGTGTTAAAATCTTGTGATTTTATTGCCACCGATACTTTTTGAGGCGTAAAGGGTGGCCAGAAGCACATATCATTATTTATCCATGTTGTTGGAACTGCAGCGACCGAATGGTCCTGAATAAATTTTACAATTGTCCATGTACGATTTTCGGCTTCCATTTTCAAAGTTTTATTGCATTTAGACTGAAATAAATATGTGAATCCACTAACAAATAGGAAACTAAAGTACCTTCAGATCGAGCTTCAGATGTTAGAAGGTATATATAAAATATTATGTATCCTTCTAGATGAGCACTATTCTGAAAAATCACTATATAGTCATAATACATAATGGAACATTTTACTTTCATTTATAGACAGCATAGCAATTAGAACACACTGTCATTATGATCATTCCGGATTATTCAGGTACCCCAGTATGAAAATAATAGGAATTTCCCATCAGAAATAATATCTGTTCAAATAAATAACCGTCGTTGCGTTTGTGAATAAACCTTGCAATGTTAGTGTAGGCCTAAAAAATGCAAAGAATCCTGAAAGAGAAGTTCATAAATTATCGTCAACGACGATTATTTGATACAAATTTGCCTAACCTCACTACCACTTATTTATTTCTTGATAATATTACATTATTTTTTATTTCATTTATACATTGACATCAAATTTTTTTAATTAAGAATAATAACAAAATAATTGCTTTCAATACCCACTATGCAAAAGTAGAAAAACAACAAATTTATCATTGAATTTAAGTTTCACAAATTTATAAGCAATCTGAGAAACATTCCACCATTCCAAAGGACCTTCGCTACTCACTAACACTATGCCCAATTCTGAAAAAGTGCAAGGTGTCTGATAAAAACAATTTTTTTCCAAATATTCTCTGCCAATAATAATGGTTTGTTTATCATTTGTCTCTAGAAAATTTTCAATAGATATTACAGCACCATTAAGTAAACAACAACAATTATTAGATCCACTCAGTTTTAGGATATAATGTTCAAAAATTAGTTCAGAATATTCAGATTTGATAGATATATTGGGAATTATAGGTCCTTTGCAATGAGGTTTTCTTAATTGGGGAAATCTTGTCTCAACATGTCCTGTTTGTTTGAATAAAAGTGTGGCATCTAGTTCTCCTTCCCTGTTTATAATTTGTTGGAGAGGTTTCTCATGTTTCCTCAGATTTTTTTTCAAAACTTGCATATAATTTTCAAATTGAAAAGCACTAAAATTATCTAATGGTCCAAATTGTCTGACATCATCAGTAATATGTATTAAATTATGAACATTATGGGACACATTTTCTTCTCCATATGAAATAATAAATGTTTCTATAAAATATTTTAACAAATTTTCTGCATATTCTAAGTGTTGAAAATGTTTGGAAGAAGATAAAATGGTAACTGCTATATGTAAGCACAGGAAGTTGATGTATCTATCCTTGGATAAAATATTTTTTTAAACTAATGGTCCAGTATATGATAAAAATTGACGAAACTCAGAGGCTTTCCACCTTTTACATTCACTGAGGTTACGTGGTTTTCGATTAAATTCAACAGGAATATCAGAAGCTTGATTGGTTAATAAGGTAGAAATTGTGGATAATTGATTATGTGACAGTTTTGTTGTTGGTTTACCACAAGACCATAGAGAAACGATTAATTTTTTTATGACACCTAAACAAATTAGATGCATATAATCTAGTGGAAAAGATTTGATCATATCTATTTCAGGAATGTTCTCTATGACTGAAGTACCAATATGATGCTCTTCCTGTGCTTTTTCTCTGAAATCTACATCTGTACGTAGCAGGAGATTTGTTGTCTGTGGAAAACATAGTCTATCAATATTAATTCCCTCTGTATGACATTTCGAACATGACATATATCCAGAATGACCTTTCGTATATGTGATATAGGACTTTGCAGGAGTATCGCAGATGAAGCCTTTGATTCTAATTGGATATAACTGTTCCTTGTAAGACAAACCATTATTCACTAAATGTATGGATTCATTTACAAATTCTTCTAAAAAACTATTAGGATCTCTTGGTTTTTCATACCCATGATAAACCCCAGCAACATCTACATAATTCTTATTCTCATAAATACTACATAATATTGGGTAGAATTGACTACCAGAGCTCTTAGAGAGGGGTTTGAAATAAGTTAAAAGTTTCTTGATACAATTTTCTAGCCCAAAATGATAATACTGTCCTGGTTCTACCACTCTGACTGGCTGTACAATTGTTTTCCTGGGAGTTTGTAACAATGTTTTTGCATCAAGAGGGAGTTCTTCTGATGGAAATCTAGGTTTTAAAATTTTCAGAAGGTCATTCACAAATGTGTGTGTAACATTATGTTTCAGACACAATTCTGCTAGTTCCACTGATGAACTTTCCTGCAATGGTACTCTTTCATTTGTTGAGGAAGTAGCATCACAAGTGTTTTGTGCTGGTACTTAGATTAGATTAGATTTAGAATGGGGCCTCCGGGCTATCTGCCTCCACACCGCGACCTTTTCAGATCTATTGTGTCTGCCCTCAAAATCGATTAGAGTTCTTCGGCTAGCCCCGTCTTCTCTATGAGACTCCATAGGCTAGCTTTCAGATCCCCTGTGTATCTCTGGGCTTCTGGTTTTTCCTCACCCAGCGTAAGGAACCTTAGTCTTGACAAGCCCTCACAGTGGCAAAGTATGTGTACTGCTGTTTCCTCCTCTTCCTGACAGAACCTGCACAGCAGTTCTTCAGTCAGACCTATCGTACTCATGTGTTTGTTGAGCCTACAATGCCCTGTGAGAAGTCCCACTAGTATTCTAGTTGAACTTCGTTTCTGGCTTAGTAGATAGTGCTGGTACTTCCTTGTTCCACCATAAATTATTGTCTGAATCATGATCAACATCCAAGTCGACATCTGAAGAAACTTTGTCTGAAGAGTCTGAAGCATATGTGTTCACATGTGAAACATATGAAACTTTATCAACATTTTGAGAGGAAATATCAAGGGAATGTATATCATCAGATATTGTGAATGATTGATTTTCAAACCCTAAAAATGCTTCGAAATCATGCACATGAAGTTTTGCACGCTTGTGATATTTGCTATTACTATGAGACTTATCCATTATCGATATAACTATTACTCACTTTGAATCTATTCTGTAAAGAACGATTAAACTAAATGATCTTTCATTTTTACAAACAAATACAAAGAAAACACAAATTAAACACTGGTAACTAGAAGGTCTGTTATCTGTCAGTTCTGTCATCAGTCCTAAAAAAATCAACAATCAACGCAAGAATTCAAATGACCATGACTTTCGGTATAAACACAGTTTTTGACCAATCAGATCGATTCTACATGGCGGTCAATTCGAATCTCTGGTGTATACTTACTGGCCTCTACCAACATAGGTGTTCTAGATGGCGGTCAATTCGAATCTATGATATCTCTGACGAATATACTTATATACTTGCTTCTATGCCGACATAACTGGACATAACCAAGTCATAGGACCTGTATGAAAAATTCTAATAAAATATATATCATATGCTCCAAAAACGTGGAAAGATGACTTTTTGGTTTTTTTTTTTCATTTTATTTTCAGAAAATATTTTGCATTTTTGTACAGTTCTGTACGTCGGATTGACTTACTGGAATGTACGTCTTAAAGACTTATTTTATACGTCTTGGCGGTATTGACGTGAATCAGACATAAAATGTACGTCTTTAAGATGTACTTTTCTGTACGTCTTTAATACGTACATGAATGTACGTTTTTAAGACGTCTTATATACGCCCTTGGACGTAAAGACGTAAGTCGGGCGTAAAATGTACGTCTTCAAGACGTCTGGTGCTGACTGGGTGAATAAACCTTACCTTTCTCGTTTGAATACACAGTGTTGTCTTCTTCGAATTCACACTGTTTCCTTTTGTCCACTTGATTCCAATGATGCAGGCACTGAAAATGAACAAGGTAACCATTAGTATGTTGTCACCACCTTTTGCATTTTTTCTAATGTCTTACCCAAATAAATACTAAAACCAGCAAAATAGTGTTGTCAAGAAACGGCAGCCAATGTGTCTGGAGAGCTGGGACGTGAGTTGGTCTAGTGTTGTTGAAAAAACATTTTTTTTTGCATTTTGAAAGGAGGCGCCACCTGAATTTGATTTTTGGACAAATAAGAACCAACAAAGTTCAGTCAAAGATAATCTATTATTTTCAGAATGCAGTGTCACAAAGAGACAAGGGTTTATATTTCAAACTGAGTTATGAAAGATGATTTTAAGTTATGGAAGTTATGAGTTTACCTTGTGGTCTAACAAGGTTTGTAAATGTGCCTAATGGGGTACTTTCCAAATGCAGCTGCATTTGTTTACAATAGGCCCGTTGATCACAACTCTAACTGGTTAACTATTTGGTGTGATAATTACATAAACCTTCAAATATAACCCTTAAGATCTGATTGATCTGAATGAAAATAATTAAATCCCAATATACCCTAAAGTTGACTAAACCTTATATATGTAACTGAACATGAGAAGTACTTTCATGATGAATTTGTGATGCACACTAATGTCAGTGGAATACTTGAAAAAAACATGACCTCGTGATAATTAAAAATAATTTGGACTGATTTCACCAGTCTCTCATGATGGAGTTATAGCAGGGAGCAGCCATTAAACTCCAGCGCAGTCTGGTAGGGGACAACCATGGACAGTCTCCTCGGCTGGATCCAACTGAAGGGCCCCTTCTAGGAGGCTTTGAGGCACATCAGGTGCCTGCAATGTCGAAGATGTAAGAAAACTCCCAGCAGGGGGAACTATGGAGAGCGGCGTGTCGGAGAGGCTACAGGCCGGAGACCTCAGGCCGTAAAGATGAGCTGGTTGGACGTAGCCACTATCATGAGGTGTGGAGTTAAGGGGCTCGTGCCAATTGGGGATGCCAGAGTCATACCGGGTACAGGAGTCAAGAGTCGAGCCAGGAATCAGTGGACCGATTTGGGATAAAAAAATGCCTCGTGGAAGTCGACAGATCTAAAGCGAGAAATAGCGCTACTCCATGATTTGCATATGCAAAAATGATTGGAGAGACTTACCTTCCACGGAGGAGCGGCTTCCCACCAAAAAAAAAAACACTCTTGAAGGCTGTTTTGCCTCTCGGCAAAGCCAAAACCAAAATGCTCTTTCGCAGCATATGATGGCGTCCTTCAACTACGAAGAAGGAGGAAACACCCTTCCACAATTTTCCAGAAACCCGGAAATACGACAAAATCCAATCTAAGCCTACTTAGAAAAAACTATTTCTCTGCATCATGCAGCTAGAAATGCTAAAGCACGTGATTACAAACCAATCACAATTTGGCACTTGATTTGAGTTTGACCAATTGAAATGAAGTTCGCCTCACGTGATAGTGACGACACTTAAGGACTCAGAACGCATGGCGAAAGACTTTCACTGAAAATTCAGATCGACATGACTTCCGGCATGGCGGGTGCTGATTCGAAGATGTATGTTCCGAATCAGACCTTACAAAGAGAAGGAGAAGACCTAACGTGACATTTAACATTGACATGGTACTATTTAGCCCTGTTCGTTTGTGCTTGCTCCACCTGCGGAACTTGATTCTTTTCTATGACCTTCTCTGTTTACATCATGCCATGAACAGAGACAACTATGGGAAAATAATTAACTCTAGCAAGTTCAGCAATACAAACGAACAGGCCCCTAGAGTTTTGGAATTTATTCAAGTTGTCAGACACGAAAATAAACAAACTAATAATTTGAAAATAATTTTCCAAATAATCAAATTATGCAAAAAATAGGGAATGTCATAGCCTCTGTACTACTCAGGTGAGTACGATAGTTCTCGAAACTTTTATAGATAATTCGTGATATCAAAAATAATTTGTTTTTGTTTTCAGACTGCCCAGGAGTTCAAGGATCTCTTACCCTGGAATGACTACATCAGCCTAAGGAATACATGGACTGCATTGAGGTAAGTCATGGCCAAGAATATGTGTAAAAACCTAAATGATTACTTCAATTTCAGGCCCCAATGTTTTCTAAGACACCAGCAGTGAGCCTACCAATCCAACAGGCACAAGAACTGGATGGAATACCCACAATTGTCATGTAATGTCATTCACATCTTGTAAGTTCCTGTAATAAAATGTGAACTATGTGCCTATCTGTTTACTTTGGAATGATACTTGACTCAAGTCTGAGCACAAAAGAGGAAACTGTACCATTCTGGTACTCCAGTTATGACAAAGATAAATTTTCATGTTACAATGTCATTCAACAATATTATAAAAATCGAATATAGGTTCGATTAGAAAACTGCTTGCACCTACCTCTATTGTAAATAAATTGTGAATATTGTAGAATCGAATGGGCCTGGGTATTTTTTAGTAATCCAATTATTTTCGTTTTGTTTTGGAATATAATCATCCAATGTTTACGTCTTGGTTATGGTTCACCAATTCTTCTTTATTAGTCACTGTCACTCTTTTCTTGCTTCGGTACAGTCTTATTCTTCTTTCGCTATAACATCAATTTCCAATCAGCATGAGACCTTTTGGGTCTACTGTTATGTTCTTGAGTATCTAGCTCGAGACAGAGCAGACTCGTATGTTTCAAGGTCACATCACCAGCAGCCTCAGTGTACAGGTGCAACTAGCAATATTGCTACTGGACATTTCGATTGCCCATTCGTTGACAGTTCCGATCTTTCAATGTTCTGAGATGTTGACGATTTCTGACAAGTTCAATGTCTGGGTCAAGTTCAATGTCAGGGTCAAGTTATCTTTCCCAGAGAGGTCATTTCTTGGCCATTTTGCTGCTGGCTGTTTCACGAGTTGGCTCGTCACGCTCTTGGAAGATCCTGATAGTTTTGCATAGGCACCTAGCTTTATCTAGGAAAAATTATGTTTCGGCGTAACGGTAACATTTCAAACTCTGTTTTCGATATCGTTATACAATTTTTCAATCGTTTTCAGGATGGAAGTCTCCATTCGAGAATTTCTCGAGACACGTGCTAGAGGAGGCACTTCTTCGCCATGGACACTGCTGCTCGACCGGTCATTCTGGGAGTCATTCCATGTTCATTTTCAATTTGGTAAAACCCTCTATACCCCAGAGGTGAGTAATTTCATTTTATTCACGACGAGAGTTAACTCACATTTTTCATGAGACCAGGTTCTGATACCTACCTTATCAATTTCAGGGTTTTACATATTGGCTCATTCTTCATCCTGTCCTGCTTTGAATGGGCTGATATGGCTGCGCAAGGGCCATCCCAATTTTCCATGTGGTAGGCTGACCACAGATCACCGACCTCAAGCAGTCTCCAATTTCCACAGTTTTGCAGTCTCCAATTTTCACAGTTTTGCAGTCTACACGCGTCAAGGTTTTGCCGTCTACTAGCTTCAAAGTATCATAGTCTGGCAGTTTCGCAGTCTCTTAATTTACTATCCACCTCAGCTCTCTTCATGATGATGATCAAAACCAAGACGTCATCATTGGATAATATCAGTTTTTTCAGTTATAAGTTTCATTTAAGTCAAAATAAACAAGGTACAAAGATATACTCATACCTACTACTCAGATTTCAGAAGTGCACTTGAAATGTTCAAGCCCTATTTGAAACATTCAATATCCTAAATACTAGCCCACAACAGGCAATTTGACGGTATAACATATCCCTATAAAATTCATGAATTTTAAGGACGTTTACTTGAAGTTCACGAATATTCAATAACCGTTGGCAGCAACTAATATTCAGAGTGGGTTTCTTTCTATAACTTGAACAAATCTGTCAATAAAGTAGTATCATCATATTAATGGGGTACCCATATCAACTTGAAACATTATTATGAGTGTAATATATATAATATCCACCTTTGAATCAATCATCTGTGAATAATCTAATGATTTTTCATTAAATTGTATATATATACCTACTCCACAGATTTTCTACTTCCTACTGACATATCTCTCCCAACCCATATTCTTCAGGTTTCTGTTCCTTCCTAGATGAACAACTATCTGAAAGAACCAGTGGCGTCCATTAAAATATATATTTGACAATTTTTTATATTAAATTGAAAATTTTGGAACTTTTCTGTAAATTCAACTTTGTGATCTATCAGGATAGCAAATTCAAAAATCCACGCCCATATGCCGCCGATAAGAAGCTGTCGTCGCAGTGTAATTGTATAATATACGTAACACTAAAATGGCGCCCTTTTAACGTGTCAATTTGCTTATCCACAGTTCAAAATTCACAAAACTGCAAACTGGTGACTGCTTGAAAAATTTTTTAGAGATTATTTTTATTCATATTCTGGCTATAATCACAGGCTTTGCATCAACCTCATTTGAAAACAGTAGTTTTCAAATGTTTTTCTTCTCAAAGGATTTGATAATGTGTGAACTTGTCAGAAAATAGTCAAAATTTTTTGAGTAAAATTTCAAATTTTGGGTTTGATAAGATACTATGAACAGTGTCGAAAATTTTGAATTTTCATTTTTTTCTTGAGAACAGGTAAATTTTTTGGTTCAAAACATGTTTTTATCGGCTGCTTTTCAATTTCCTGGGCTACCTTTATACCCTTTGACACGATTTTTTTTCCACAAATGTAGAGCCAGATAGGAATTCATCAATTGAGCCTTTTTGAGCAGCAACTCTACTATTGTCATTTAAATATGGTGTTATATTATGTCTGCGATGAATTGACAGAAAATAATGTACATTGGTAAATAGCTGGGCGGCCTTTATGATATTTTGTTTGTGATCATCCGATAAAACCATTCGATTGATCATCAGGTTGATTGGCCCACCTAAGGCCGATAACCCTGCACCGATTTGTTCCTGAATTGTTGTCAGAAGATTGTCTTTTCTTACAACTGATTCTGGAAGGATATTTTTGATCTCCTCATTTATCTCTGGAGCTTTCAGTGCTGGACAATTGGAAGCTAAAGAATTCTTATTTTGGAGTTTTTTACGAACTTCTTTGAAAAGGCTTTGCTGAACATAGTTGGTCCATCTGACTACCACTTTCTTATGTAATTCTATGCCGAATTATTCTGATATAACTGGATTGTCGCCTAGTAAAGCTGTAAGATTAGTAGGATCAGTTTGAATAGCCTCGTCAGGTGGTACAGGTTCATGCGACTCCTCAATCACTCCTCTGATGACCTCCCCCTCGCTTTGAATATCAGGCTGGTGAATATCGACTCTAGTTGTACTGTGCACTGGTGGTTGACTCCAAGCTGAAATATAGTTAAAGACTATATATAAGCTCCCAGCAAGGGTCGATTCATAATTTCTGATAAATAACGAATTATTTGCCGGGATCATCACAGAG